TCCCATTTTATTTTATGAATTTAGAATGGCCGTTCTAAGGTCAACCTTTACCTCCAAATGTATTTAATTCCCACCAATCTGTTACTTACAGTGACGGCTATCAGATAATCGACATTTTCTTGAAGGGTCCCAATTGATGTTTACGAGGTTTTAGGTTGAGGCTCAATTAAAACAGCGAATTTATGTTATTAATATAATACATCATTAACATTTTCCCCTAATGACCTATGCACAATATAAGGGCTAATGTACAAGCGGCAACAAGTGAGCCAAATTTGGGTTTAGGCAATAGTGTCAGAAAATATCACTGCCATTCTGGGTCGCTTTCAGTGATGCAAGGTCTTATTGCTAAGCTTCCATGAATTGAATGAAGAGAAGGACTCACCGTTAAATCGAAATTTACTTCTGAAGGCTCTCTCATCCAGAATGGACGGTAGTTCTAACCCCGCCTGGATCTCGATAGCACCCTTAATGGGATCTTGCGCGTCAAGCGACAACGTCACACGGTCGAGCTGTCAAAATTTTATAGGACAAATTTGACTACCACAGCTAAATAAGGTATCAATTAGTATAGTAAAGATATACTTATATTTTTGAATGCTAGTGATTTTTCTCCTGTCATACTACTAAGCTAAATGTCCAAGAAACAGGCTGCGACTTTTTGGTAATGTGCTGTTCGTTGATTTACACTACTTGGCTTCAAATTACTTTGGGGTCCAGATTATGTCAAGTCTCCACTTTAGTCTGGACGAGGAGGGCGATTAAGAGGTATGATTTAGTGGAGCTTATTGGATTGACGATACCTTATAGACAACAAAACTTTCAGATATTTCATCTTCTTACATTGCCAACTTTTACTTGGGGCCTTATTCAGTTTATAATACCTTAATCAAATTATTATTTTATCAGCGTGTTGGGTTAGAGCTTGTATTTATTTTCGAATTATGCTATTTTGTAATTTAATTATTTGTTTTTCGTAATAATTTGGTCCCCCTCATTTGGGTTTTTAATCGGGTGGCTAATGGCTACATGTCATTACTCCGCCACACAATCATGTGCGACAGTAGGTCACAGGGCTAGGCCTTTACGGAGTCACATTTTAGAGTTGGTTTATCGACTAAGCATACATCTATTTGCCGCTACACTCGACTATGAAGGCCAGGCTGATGCGGCCTCTTTTTTTGGTCGCAGTCTATCTTGGCTGCATATAAGTGGTTTGACCTACTATTGGAAACTTGATCTTACTGCCAGGAAGACCTTAATAAATTCACCTTGTCTCGACTGCTTTTCCCTAGTAGCCATGATAATTTCCTTTAGTAAATCAACGGTTCAATTCTGGAAATGTTCACCTCTTTGGAATTAAACTTCTGACAAAGGGTATTCATCGAGGTTCCCCTGAAGGTGCTACCAAGGGTATATTTCTATTATTTTGGCCTTTAAAATATTTTTGAATTATAGTTCACTTTATCTCATTAGTTGAAATATAATTCGATTTTTTATCTTAAACTTGTCTTCTACGTGCCAAACCTCACATCTTATTTGCTCCATAGCCTCTTGCGAACATGTTGGTATATCTGAACCTTCTCCTGTTTCACCTTTCCTTGATCCTGACTTTTACGAGGGTTTGCCGTCCGACTCAATCAGCTTATCAATCAAAGGTTGTGCACCTCCCCCTGAAAAGCAGAAGAATCAACTTAAATTGGCGAAAAAGTCACTTTCTCTTGAAGATAGGCAATCGCTTGAGAGGAATGATGATTCCTCAACTGCTGGTCTGTCTTTATCCGAGTCCGACTCTGGCCGGAAAGATCATCTACAGATTCAGGTTGGTCAACTACTCTCTGTTCAGGGATATTCAATGAAGTAATATAATTTTAAAAATGTGCTTTGATATAATGATTTGGAAAAACTGTTAACAGCAACTTCAGACACCAAGGTATCAAAATTATCTTAGAAATCGCGTGAAATAAACTTTGCCTTTTGGAAAAGGCTCATCGCTTTTTGCCTTGCTATTTTACTGCAGTTTCACCATCATCACCCCTTCTACCTCAAGTTTTCTCGTTGGCTATAGCATTATTATCCTTCCAAAAATTTCGCGGCACTTTTAGCTTTCTTTTATCTATCTTCTACACTTCATAAGGAATTTTAAAAGGATTTGTAGTGACCTATCCCTACATTTTTCCTATTCAATGTCTAGTTATGTTGCATCACGCATATAGCCATGGCTCAAAAACTTTGGACACAGATCGCGTGATAATATGACTGATTTTCACTCTTTATTTCACATCGAACAATCAAAGCTTGACACCGTTTAGTCCAATCAGATTGTGACATGCAAAACTACGCAAGGTTTTTTTCAAGTAGTTAACATAATGTTTAGGGTGGTTACGTTTTCTTCCCTCTTCTTCTCCGCTCTGCTGCGACCCACGGAGTTTTTCGTCTTCTATTACGAGCCGACTCCAATAAATGATTATCTATTCTCGACTCCATACTCTAATTTTGCTGTTTCTAGGTAGGACACTTATTAATAGGCTTTTCCCCCTTTTTCGCTTCGTCCCGGGGTATCCAAACATTTATCACGTCGTAGAGCACAGTCGTTATTTATTATAGAGACAGCCCCCATCCTTCGAACCATTAAAGACTACAGCCCTGACCTTAATCATTCATTAAAACACCATGTGAACCTTCGAGTCATATCAGACCGCTTAATTTCCATTGTGCCACAGCAAATGGAAATTTCAAGTCAACCCTTGCCTATCCTATCTTACATTCGTAGTCGGGACGTATTTTGTGAAGGCTGACCTTTTTTAAGGTATTCTAAGCCATCCATTGGGTATACTGGTGAGACGTTGTGGAGTATAACCTGGGTGAAAGAGCCCCTTGAACAACAAGGCTTAGCGAATTATTCAGCCCTTATTTCATCAACATCGACACGACTACAAGGCTTCGGATTATTAAGCGGCCTATGTTTCTCAATGTCCTAGGAACTTTTACCAAAATAACATTATCCTCCAATTGTATTCATTCACTTTAGCTATATCAGCCTTGCTAAACTGGCAATTTTCACTGACGATGCCATTGAAATGTGCTAAGTCCACTTTCCGACGCTCGGACTTATCGTGGCTGTTATAGCAAAAGGCTCTGGTATAGGTGCGTTTATCTAGGTTCTTACAATAGGTCGAAGTTGAGAAAGTGCAGTCTAGCCACTTTAATAAAATTGCATGCCTCGATATTACATATCCGTTTACTATGGACTAGTAAATCCGTTGGTAAGGATTTTAACATGAAAGTGTTCTCTTATGCTTTATCGAGACTATATTTATTGATGTAATATTCGGCTTTTTTTACACATTTTCGCTCGAATCCTGTTCACAGAATTGAGTCTTCCTTCGTCGACTTTCGTACGAGCAGGCACGCGTTTCACTTTTCATACAAACAGTACCTTGATTTTGATGTATTTTTGTACCTACCACTTTATCATCAATTTTAGACTTTGAACAGGTAAACCTATCAAAAACATTTTTATTTCTTCATATCCCAACCCTTTTACACAGATTACTGAAAATCGTCCCGAAACCCTACCTGATTATATCCAGGGGGGCTTAGCCAGCGACCCCGATTATATACTGTGGATGCCTCCTTCAGGTAAGCTATTCGTCTATTTGATACTTGTAATATTTTTAAGAAACCAAATGGCTCATCAATGCTATGGCAAACTTAATAAACATGTTTGCTGCTTTAATCGTTATACTGACCAGTAAGCCTACCATGCATTACATGGATAAATTTGTACCTGACAAGTTTAAGTGTTCAATTTCATCTTGCTAGGTTATGAGAACAACAAAGCTTATTTAAAACTTATTAAACAAGCCATTCTGAGCCACTATAACTTCTGGATTCATATTCATGTCCATTTTACTTTTTTGGCTTTGAACTCCGCTCTGCTGTGGCTTAATAATGTCGATGTAGAACCAACCAGAGAATCTCGTCTTGAACCTATGAAGCACATAATTGCTTCATTGGTGTTTGAAAGATGGATTATTACCAACCATTTACTAATGAATTTGAGGACCACAAGTTGTATTGATTTCATCTACCAAATCTTTCACAATTTAAACAATTCACATAGACGGACATTGATACCATAATACCAGCTCTATGATCGGCCGGTATTGGTTAAGCGCACCAGCGGCTGAATCATTTATTCTCATTTTAAGAGGTATCTTAATTGCCGCTTGATGGTTGATAGAGAGTACCACTGTTTACTGTTTAAGATTTTCCTTTATTTAATGTCAGTTTCCTTCCTTTCTTCAAATCAATCTTCTGTTGCGCTACCTATAACCTCCCAGCAACACGTTTATCGAGCTGTCTTTTAATACGGAAAATGGAAGTTTGAGTGTACAATAGTCTCCCCTTTTATTATTTTACTTATACCTGAATTTCTCTCGATTTTATTTAACAGACGGCGCTC